CCCCAAAACCCCAAAACCCCAAAACCCCGAAACACTTTTCAGATATTAAAAAAAAGATTAAAATCAGAATAAATTATATTAACTGCAAACACTAAGAATGGACATTCAGGCAGAGGATATAAATCTCGACACCTAAATCAGACAAAGCAAGAATTTTACTTAGGGAAAGCAATCTCCAATGAAATAGTCATTTCACTTATCAAAATAATCTCCATTATCTAAGGGACATAGCTCTCAAATATAGATTGAGAATTTCTCATCTCCTCTCAGTAAATAAACTACTTTGAAGAATCCTGAGACTCAGAGCGCAAAAAAGAATCAAATAACCTAATAAGATGATAATTACTATTACTATGAAGATAACTCATTGAGTGAATTGAGAAAATCTAAAGAAAGGTCTAGTTATTATGACTTTACCTTTAGTGGGCAACAGTTAGAGTAATAGCAATAGCAAGTCTTATCAATCTATGATTAAAAGGAATTTAGCAATAAACTACCTATCATTGTTTAAGAGAAATAATCTTTGAGATATAGCAATCCTGTTGATTTTTCAGAAGGTGTATCTCGAGATAGCGCTTAGAAATTTATGATTAATAGAACGACCGATTAATCAAGATTGTAGACATTATAGTATTAAAATGAACTTGAAATGATTCCGAGTGAAAAATCCTTGTTGCCTGATATCAATCAATCAAGTTTAGAGCCTAAATTTGGACTAGCAGAAGCTTAGAGTAAAAGTGGAATTAAAAATAAGTCCAATCTAATCAAAGAATATCAAACTATTGATCCTTATGGTCAAAATTATCCTCAAGTAATAGCTAATAGTAAAAAGATGATTTCACATAGAGGTGGTGGATCTCTAATGAATCAAAATAGGCAGTAAAGACTCCAATAAAATCACTCAAGACATTTTAATAAATCGCTAATCTACAGTACTAATACTTATGGGATAGATTCAGGCACAAATATTCATAATCCTAATCAATCCCAATCACCTGCAAGGAAAGATCAGTTTGATTAAAGTATTGAAATTAGTGATTATCTGTCTAGAAAAATAGATACAAAAAAGCTTAATGTTATGATATTTCAAAGTAAGATCAAGAAATTTTAAACCTAGTATGGATTGAAATTAATTGATCCTAAGAAATAGCCATAAGGAAGGAACGATTCTATAACCTAAATACCTAAAATTAATAATGAAAGTTCCTTCACCAATTTTGACTAGACTAATGAGATGGAGATAGGTTCTCATTTATTAACAATTAATAACGATCTAAATAAACAGACTTATTAAGATTAGAATGACTATTAATAATAGAGTACGAGTAATCTAATCATGCTTAAAGCTATTTAAAATAATGCCAAGAGGAAGATCATTCATAATAATGGTCTAGAATTTTATAGAATAAGAATGGGAATAAATGACTTACCAAAGATTAGGTTCGAAAAGTCCATGCCACCTGAGAATATACCATAAATAAAGAGGAGAACAGATAGCATACGTACTATTAAGAATAATGAATTCGCTCATCAATCATTGCGATTAAATAATAATTCATAATTAGATGGCTAGTCAAGAAATCTCAACTAGGAAAGCTAAAATAGTTCCTTGATGGTTTATAGCTTAGCTTAAAATGACAAAATAGAATCGATTGAGAATGAAATAAAATTATGCTTACTAGAACTTGTCAGATCTGATTAAACTTAAGAAGAGGAAATCTAACTTACTGAAAATGAATAAACTAAAAATATTTTGCCTGATTCAGATGTCAAATCTGACCCTTATACTGATAATACTCCTATCTCAACATAAGATAATCAAAATTCCTTGATTAATGATGCTTCTATTAGTAATATACATAAAATTGGATCAATCGATACTCAAGAATAGAGGACAGTGTTCGTACCTATAATAAAACTGCAGTAATGTCACCCCTTATTTTCAAAGCTAAGCACTCACGCTACTAAAGTTCTTTTATAATTTGGGCAAATTATAACTCTGATATAAAACTAGTTACTCTTTAAAGAATAATAACAGTAAGCACTTAACTATCAATAAATATATTTTAGGGCAAGAAAATTCTTTATCATTCTCTATGGATAGATGTGCTACTAAAATAATGATAAGGTTTAGCTAGCCATATTTGGACTTGGATCAGTAGCTGGTGAAGAATGGATGTTCAACAAGGGTCTCAGATACAGGTTAGAGAACTGTTTTGCCAAAGTGAATTCATGTGTCCTTGAGATAACTGCTAAATAATATGAAAATATGAAGATATTCATGGGAGAAAATAAAATGAAAAAAGATCTTTCCATACTAGAATCAATTTTAAAAAGGAATTATTTCTAAAAAAAGAGTATATACCAGTGATAAAAAATTAGCTTGAGACGGCAAATAGTTCTTGTAATTTAATATTTAGGTTAATATAATTAAAAATCTATTTAATTAATTGATACACAAATCTTAGTTATCAATGTTTATCAAATTTCTAAAATATTATGATTTTTGTGCAGAGAAAATATCCTATAATTTTCTCATTATCTATTTGCTAAAGGCATAAAAAACCTATAGTGATCAAAGGCAACCATGTTAAGAGCATAGTTTCTTGAAAGTAATCTAGCTGTATCGAGTGGACTAAAAGTATTCTAGGACTTATTACAGCTATATGTCTCAGTAGAGGTATGATAATCTTCTAGTTGCTTAATTTAATTAGGACTGTCAGTATCATTTTACTCATTTGGTGAATTACTTTAAATCTTTTCTATCTCATTAATATTTAATGACTCTTTTTAAGTAAAATTTTTAGTTTACTGAATTTATTCTTTTCTAATTGAAATCTGCATTGACTTGCTTCTACCATGATTTTTCATTATTTTCAATTTGCTTCTGATCTCGCTTTGTTACTAATTTTGAGGAATTACTTGCTTATCAAAATACCCTCCTCTTTAGCATAAATCAACCCATTATTTATAGCTTTACTTTACTCCCTCCTCAGTCCTTGCTGTAATCTTGCCTTTGAACATAGTACTTTTTAAAAATTCTAATTTCAAAGTAATTGCTAACGTAGACCTATCGGTTTAGGTTTGATCTTGGAATGCTATCCATCTTTCGTGGACTATGAAACAATCTGAAAAAGGAACATCTAAAGATCTATTTTCAATATCTATAATAAATTCATTTTCGCACTTAGTGACTAGTCTGAGTAATTTTTCATGCCTTGTTTCTGATAAGAAAGGTACTCCTGAGACAGGAATTATTTATTTTATCATCTTACTTGGTAATTTCATTTTACTGGTTGAAGTATCATTCTTAGTATCCCAATTGGGATCTATTGTGACATCCTTACTTTTAATTGCTTCAAAATGTGATTTAAACGAGTAAGTCGCATTATCAGAAAAAATTATATCAAATATCTAGGTTACATTGATCGGCAAAATCAATGTCTCAAGTCTAATATAATCCTATAACACTCTTTTATATTTCAACTCAAACTATGCTTTTAAGTCTTCATCAGAAGTTTGAAATTGATTTTATGGGTTTATTTCTGTGGAAAAACACTTATTCTTTGCTTAATTTGAAAGAGGATTACCATTGCTTATTCTAGAAGAGAGTTCTAATCTATTAGATGATCTAATTGCGTTAATACTTCGCTATCTAGCTCTTTTCCTGATATTAAAATCTTCAGAAATTAGTCGCTTAACTAACTCCTTATCAATTTGCAAGCATTTCACTTAGTTAGTGGACTCTGTGATTGCTTTTAATTTGATAAGTCCTTACAGATTCATAATAATATCTTATTAATCCCTCACATTACAAAAATTGTAGGATTTGATATTATTTCCATTGGATGAGTCGATAAACTTAAGTTCAAATTAGCTTATATCATCAGTTTAAGCAAGCATAATGTTATCTATACTTTCTAGATGGGATAGCTTCTCTACTATCTATGAAATTAAGTTAATTATGAGGATGTGGATAATAAAATAACAGAAAAATGTCACTTATAATGATTTATACTTTTTTATTGATTCCAAAAGTGTCATTTTTAAAGCAAAGGTAATTCGTTGTTAAGTAGAGCTTGCCATGAAATATGATTCCTTAAAACAAGTCACAACTAGATTATGCAATAATTTTCTCCTAAACTCATCAATAAGCATATTTGAACTTTTTATTACCTCAGCTGGAATAGAGAATAGTTTTGCTATCATTTTAAGTTAATATTTTTAATTGTCTAATAATCACATCCATATGCTCTCAAACTTTGAACAATTTTATTTATCTTATAATCTTATAATTACCAAAAATCGACGTCATGGGGTTTTGGGGTTTTGGGGTTTTGGGG